AGTGTGTATTATCCCCTGTAGTACGGCTGCAACTGAGAAGAGCTGTCCTTTTTACAGACAGCATGAGGACTGTATTTGGTTGAAATGTGCCCATGCTGGAGTTCTCAAAGCTAAAATAACAGTGTTCTCACGTCAAGTGGGCCTTAGTCCCGTGACTTGGACATTTACAGGTGGATTTATATCTGGATAATTCCAGATCTGCTTTGTGGCTCGAGTGTCAGGTGAGGAATATGTCTGTTTTCTTGGACGGATGGTGTTGGCTGTCGCAGTCAGTATGTGTCTCTGCAAATAAAACAAGCTGAGTCCTATAGGGAGGCTGTCTTGAGAAGGCTGTGAGCATCATCTTCCTAGCTGCTTCAGCACAGACCTCCTTAGTTGTGAGAAAATGATGCAACGATTAATAACCTTGCATTAGGCTCTTAGGTGATCTTACCTGGAACATAACTGAATATCCAGATCCTCTTAACAATTCAAATGAGAGGCTTTGCAGTTTGTATCTTGATAGTGAGGGCCTTATAACTGTGGACAAGCGAAAAATGAAACCAGGAAAGCAACCTGGGTAGCTACCTATACTGGAGCCTCTTCATTTTTCTGTATTTTCACACTGTCAGTTGAACAGATTTATTTTCACCTTAGTGGCTAGTTTGCATCTTTTTGTTCTTTGGATGCCTTTTGAGCTGCCAGGTGTTACAAAGCAGCCCACTGCGTCTACTCACGTGCTCTCCAGTGTTTGGGCATTTTGCTAGCAAATCATGGAAAATAAATGGGCAAGATGTTCCTAGAGGGTAACTCAGTGCTGAAGTTGATTAAGAAACACTGAAATAGCTATTGCTTTTATATTAAATTATAGTGAAGGTGAGAGTTAGGACTTGTGTGATCCTTACTTCTAAGAGAGAGATACCTGGGTGTTATTTCACTATTGAATATCTTTGAACCTAGTGTATACTGAAGTAATGTATTCTGTCTCATTTGTTTTGAGCAGGCAAATGTAGCCACCAGGCCTCACTTAATAAGAAATGTTTTCAAGTGGATTGTAAGTGAATGTTCCCTGTGATCATGAGTAATCCGGGGGAGAGGAAAAGGGTAGGCTTTTTTCTCTCAAGAAAAATATATTGTTTGCTTTACAGCAAAAGAAAGCATCTTGTGAGCACAGATCAGAGATGAGCCTTGCATTTTTTTTTTCCTCCCTTCTCCTGTGCAAGAGAAGGGTAACCTATGGAACTACTTTACAAGGTGCTGGTTAAATGTCGTATTTGAGGATTTTGTGTAAGAAGCTGAATTACGGATTCCTGATTCCCAGCACTGGCATGTGATTGAATAGGAGGAGAGTTTTGCCTGGGCTGTGATTTTATTCTCATCAGTGGCTGAAATGTAAAAAATAATTCTGCCATGTACTGCATTACATCTTTATCATCACCCCCTTCTTCAATCTGTTTCTGTCTCTTCCTGACTTGCCTCTACCGTGGAGCAGTCAGCTTACATGGAGGTTGATATTAACGGCTCGGGAAACCTGGTCTTTCACTTGGGTGATGAAGTTGTGTTTACATGGCTGGCACAGTCCCAGTGGTGTCTGAATTTTATAAACTGCTGTAGGTAGCATTGATATTTTGTAACTTGTGTATCTATTTAAATCATAATTGAAGGAAAACAATGATTTAAAAAGAATGGTGTATAATTAAATTCAGCACACATTGTCAATTGTTCTTGGATAAAGTCATCATCATCATATGCTGAAAGTTAATTTTTAATAAATTTCAGATTTGCAGACAGCAATTCGGAATGGCACTTTTCTTTTCCTGAGCTGTACACTTATGGAAATTGTTCAGGCTGGGGTTTGTGGGAACTACTGAGTAATAAGTTAGAAGTTTTGCTGATTTGGGGAAGTGCTAGCTGTATTTTGGCTAGCATATTTTCTTTGAAAGAATCACATATAAAAGCTGTTTTCCTTTAGCTTCTGTGACAAAATTCTGAAGTATAAAATTAAGATTTTTTTTAATTTAGATGAATTTATGTATCAGAATTTAATGCAATAACTTTTCTGAATGGCAAGGAACATCTGTTAAAAATTTTGGGCATACAACTCGTTAATGGAGTACTTCTGTTTTTATTATATCATGCTCAGAAAGAGGCTGTTGGTTGCCTGCTTCAAAGTTTAGCGTGCCCATTTATAAATTTCCAGTAATGTCAAGGAGCTTCAGGTGAGCGATGATGTGTGAGGGAGATGAAGGAGGCAGGAAAGTGATAAAACTCAAATAACGCCGCTGCAGTTGCATTCATACCAGGTGGGTGTATGGATTAAGGGAAGTTTAAAGCAATGGTCCTGTCTTGCAGCGTGTGCTTTTGTAGTGCACTGCGGGATGCAGGTGGAGCTCTGCCTAATTTGGAGGTTTGGGGTAACATCTCACAACTTGCATCTTTGCTTGCTAGTGTTTTTCTTCTGTGTTTTTAGATTTTTGCACTTTAATCTCTTCATGTTTTCTTTTACTCCTATGTCTCTCCACCATTAGCAGGCGCCCTGCGGAGGATCTCAGCTTCACAGCCTTGTGATTTTGTAGAGGTACCAAGACCTGACCTTTGTTCTGCCGCCTCCTGTATGGAAGCATCTTGCTGGATTACAGATCCCTGCAGAGATGTGAAAAGCTGCTTGTTGAGAATTCAGCCCTCTGGTGAAATCTACCTCTTTATAGCTAAACGGAAACTCTTTGGCTTAATGACTGCTAATAGTCACCCCTGTGTCACGTGTTTTTGTCCCTTTACCTCAGTATTAGACTGAAGTTGCCAGTGAGAGGGCAGCCAATCTCACCCTCATCATGCAGCTTTGCACTATAGCATTGTATGCAGATGATCACCACCATCAGTCTCCATAACTACATATAAACTCCTGACATCTGCTTTCCTGCATAGCTACTATGCTGTCTTTTTTTGTTGTTGTTAAGTAAAAATGTTGCTATTCTGCAGTTTACCAGCATTTTTTTTTCCTAATGAAAGCCAAATCCAGAATCTGGCCTATCCAAAACTGGAAGAGCTTTGTCAGTGTAGCTGTAGGCGCATCCATTTTCCCTAGATATTCAAGTGTTCTGATATATGTTGACAGTTGCAAATATCTATACTGTATATATAAAATATGAAGTATACTGTATTCTCATAATACTATCTATACACTATACATGTATACTGAATACCTATGTCTAGTATATGTAGTAGTATGAGAATAGATTCATGCCATATGCCTTTACAAATGTCCCTAACTAGAGCAGCAGGTCAGAATATGCTGGGGTCATCTTGGGCGCAAAGAGGATTATTACCTATTTAGTGAACGTTGGTAGGGCAACTTTAACATGCCCATGCCCTGTTGCAATGTTCAACTGCAGGATTGCAGTCTGGACTAAATTCTGTGCTGCAGATATGCCTGGTTTGATGCAGCAGAGAGAAAGCGGTAGAAAGCGTGGCTCGTGCTGGCCACGGAATAGTGTTCCCCTTGCCAGTGGTTAACGTAACTGATGAGGAAATTTTAGATCACTTTCCATGACTCTGTTTCTCCCCCACTTCTCACCCAAGGAGAAGGCAGGATGCCGAGGATCCGCTCCCGAGGCTGCTCCATGAGAGCCGTGATGACACGTGGCCGCCAGTGGAGGTCCCAGCAGAGCTGTGCGGCGCAGAGCGCTACCTCAGCGCGGGCTCAGCAGGCCCGAGCTCTGTGTTACGTCCAGTTTGTTCTCAGGGGCCGGTGAAAGAGCTGGAAGCACGAAGGAAAGCTGAGAGTGACAGGAGACGGATTCTGCGGCATGGTCCTAGGTTACCCAAAATATAATTTGGCAGCAGAGAATAAACCAGACCCTTCATGACACAAGGCATGCCCACCTGAACACTCGCAAACCTGGGCAACACTGAGATCTGAGCTTTGCAGATGGCTGCCAGCCTAACTGCCAAGGAGAAACCTTGATTCCAACACCTGTGAACTTCCCTTTTCTGGGCTTTGAGTCATACCTATGTTTCTAAAATCACAGTTTATAGACAACTGTCTGTGCCAATCATTTTTAGCTTTTGGGACTTATTTTTATTCTTTATTAGTGCCCTAGAGCACCCTTTCAGTTAGGGTCTCCTCCTGTTACATTCATTTCCAGTTGTCTGAACTCAGTTTTCACAATAGGAAAAGGCCCGGCTCCCTGCCCAGCTCCTGCAGGATGAGGTTGTCAGAAGAGTACTTGAAATTCTTCAGAGAATCCTTCCTTCCTCAGGATTCAGGGGCTTTTTCCTCTCAAAATGTGGGTCTCTGATAAGCAGCGTCTGTTCTGCCTTTTTATTTTTCTTTTTTTCTTTTTTTGCCCTAACAATTGGCAGGATTGTTTGTTTTCCCGGTCGGCGAGGTAACTTCTCCAGCAGAGGCGCCACGCTGGCGCTGAATGGTGTTGGATTATAGCCTGTGTGTCTGTCTTGCATAACGAAGGACGTATATCGTGACGGTGCGCTACAGCAATGCTGTTTCACCTGGGCGGGTGTAGCCTGTGGCACGCACAGGCTGGAGGAAATGCCCTCCTGAAAATTAAGACGGCTTAAGCAGAGGTGCACAGGTGGGGGATCAGCTGGCTCTTCTGGGACGTGGTTTCACTTGGTTAGGACACCAAAGCGGACAGGCCCCCGGGGCAGCAGTCACGACCTTCCCTGCACGGCTCCGTCTCCCAGGGCTCATCCCCAGCGTCGCTCCCTCCTCACGGGGTTAGGACCTGGCTTGTTTGCTCGGACACAAGTGATTTATGTGAGTAGGCAGAAGGCCCCTGTGTTGCCTGGCATCTTCCTGTGGAGCGGCCCCGCTCCTGGTGAGCCTGTAATCAGTGACCATTTTTTGTTTTCACCTAAAGTTTATTACCATTTAAATAGCCTTCCCGCCTGCCGCATCCTGGGGGGGTTTCTGGCTCTGCTGCTTCACAGTCTGCAAAATTAATCCCCTGTAAGATCTTGTCCTCACAGGAAAATAATACTGATTTAGCTAAACTGGTTTAGAAACTTTTTTTAACCCTCTCAAGACCTTTTGTGGGACGCTGGTTTTGAAAACTGGAGCACTTTTTACCGACTCAGTTTATGATACATTATGCTTAGACAGGAAAGTGTTGATTCACAACCAAAATTACAGTGCAAAATTCTGCCGTCAGGGGCAAGGCTTTTAACTAGCACAGGGTAATTCCAGATTTACCTCAGCAAGTGTTTTTAGGTCTTGAAGATTTAAGGGCCAGACAGCAAATGCCTTTAACCAGGAAACAATTAATTGCACAAATTTCCTCTCTGCAGTCAGTGCAGCTCTCACCCAGGTAATGCTCCCTGGGATGCAGTGGCTCATGCCTGCGCACTGTTTTTATTACTGTGCATCTCTGCTAATTAGTTCCTGTTGGATGGTAGGCCAGCTTGCTGCAGGGATTTCTGATGAAAATTTCCATCAGTTAAGATAATCTAAAGTTAGCTTTAAGATGAAAAGCAAACAGGTTTTCTGCTTCACTCTGTGTTTTATGTATTTATTTTCCCCAAAGAAAGCTCCCAAGCACAACCCATGCTCCCAGTGGAAGGCAGGACCAGGCCTCTGAAAGTCATTCCAGTGCTCCCGCGGTGAAGCATGCTGTCCCAGAGCACCCAGGTGCTTATTCACGACATGCCCAGTGTAAGAAATCCCATGTTTGTGCCTTTTGCAAAGGGTGCCAGCTCTGGTTCTCCCCCACGGGCCATGCTCCGTGTCACTTCCAGAGAAATACGCGTGCTGGGCAGGGCCAGCGGAGGGACACGCAGCCCACGTCGACAGTCCCCGGAGCGGCGCGGTGCGTACACGGGGTCCTACCAACGCTGGCAGCAGCGCTTGGGCAGCCTAGCCCCTCTGCTGCACATTCAGGTCAGGGACGTTTCCACCCCTGCTGACAGCGACACCGGCCCTGTTCACGCTGTCACACGCGAGCTGCACATCCTTCCCGTCCTGCATGCTGGTCTGTAAACGAGGAACTCGCTTGCTATGCTGCTGGTGTTACAATTTATTAGCAGAAACCTTCCTTTCTCTACACTGGACATGCAGCTCTTCATGTTTGACTACTACAATTGTATTTCTAGTTAGAAATAACACATTAGCCTGGCTTATGTGCTCATGCAAGTCAAGCTATAAACTGGCAGATGAATGAAATTAACTGCCTCCAGATTCGCATTCCTGTCACTTATTCAATTATTTGATCAGCATAATTGCTCAGAGCAAAAGCTAATTGGAAAATGACATGCATTTATTCTCTCTATAGAGGGGGAGAGGCTTATCGGGTGTTTTACTGCAGGCAGTTTCATTACTTGCCATATTCTGGAG